GGGGGGGATGTTCAGGGATTTGTAGACATACAGGAGTATTTTGAACTGGATTCGAAGGTGAACCGGTAACCAGTGCAGTGAGGCCAAAACTGGAGTGATGTGCTCTCTTTTGCCTGTACAGGTTAAAAATCAGGCTGCTGCATTCTGGACAAGTTGTAGTCGTGCTATAGAGATCTGACTGATACCAAACAGGAGTGAATTGCAGTAATCTAGCCTAGATGTAATGAATGCATGTATTACTGTCTCCAGGTTATTTTTGGACAATATGGGCTTCAGTTTAGACAGCCGCCTCAGTTGGAAGAAACATGATTTAACAATCATGTTTACATGATTGTTAAGTTTCACGGAAGGGTCCATTATCATTCCCAGATTAGTGACTCTTTGTTTTTCTGACAGGGTTAGAGCGGAGAGGTTGATGCAGTGGTTTGTGATTGTGTCATTGGGAGGGAACAACATGACTTCAGACTTATTTTCATTGAAACTTAAGAAGTTTAAAGCCATCCAGTCCCTGATGTCAGCCAGGCAGTCGGGCAAATGTTGAATAGAGCATGTACCATTGTGTCTTAGGGGGATGTAAATTTGACAGTCATCGGCGTAGAAGTGAAAGGGTATGTTGTGTTTCCGGAAAATGGCACCAAGTGGCAGCAGGTATAAAGAGAATAGGAGGGAACCCAGGATGGACCCCTGCGGAACCCCCCATTTAAGCTCTGTCACTGCAGAACTAAAATCCTTGATGGAGACACAAAAGGATCTGTCAGCGAGGTAGAATCTGAACCAATTGAGGGCTGACTCTTATTGACATGCCAATTACCACCATTGTCCCCCTCCTCTTGCTAACTTCTTTAACTCCTGTATGCATAAACTATTTGTCCCAGATACACCCCCTGAGGGAGTATCGGGCCTGTCTGGTATAGATTGGTTGACAAACGACATTCATGAGTAAGTCTCTAAAAATGCCTTTAAGGTTTGCTGTTTGAGGTACAGAGGCACTTGTTGCTTAAATTTTTGAATGTGCAACAAATTTTCTCAGTATCATCACTTGTTGCAAGTGTGTCAAAGTTTTCTTAATTGGTGACTGCCTAGAAATGCAGCCATCTATTATTTTCTACCTGAAAAAAGTCTTGTTCTTCTATCAACTTGAATGCAGCCCGAACCACATCAAAACGACAGGTTCGGCACCGTGTTGTGTGCCGTTACTTTTATTGGTGCTTCAAGTTACCATGGCAGCGTAATTTGCAAAGACGCCATTTTTCTCATTGAAAAACATTGACAGAACTCTTAACAGCCTCTAACTGCAACAGTGAGATCACATGACTTAGAGGGAAGAGGTCTTTGAACACTGGTTAACTTTTGGAGCCATTTTGGATCAAGATGGCTGCCACAGCTATCTCCTTAGCTACACGGGGAAAAAATACAATAACTCAGCAATTTTAAGATATTGAGCTGAAATTTGGTGTGGTGATACCTGACAGAGATGCACAAGTACAACACATTTTTTGTCATTCAACCATTATTTATACACAAGGGTGTCAGAAGCATCCGTAATGTGGGGGGGACACAATGATGTGTGTAGTAGAGGATGACATTTTTTCGGGAGTACCGCGTGTCATGTGATTCCGTCCGGATTTCGGCGGGACCTGAGTCAACCTCATTATAACTCACGTGACCGGGACGTGACCGGACTGAAAGCTAACGGGAGCAGACAGGAGTGGGAACCGACCATTAACCAAAAATGAAAATGAAACAAACAAAAAACGGCGCAGCTATTTTGTAAGCCTTCACTTTAACACAAGTCAAAAGAACTAAATTGCCCAGAAGTCCACTGTTCCAGACGTAGCTTTTCACCGAGAGGGTGGGAGGAGCAGCAAAGTCTCCAAAGAAACCGAATGGCTGAAATAGTTTGCAACGCAAGGTATATATATAATTAGGAATGTGCGAACAGTTTCCACTATTCTCACTTAAGAAATGAAGCAAGTAGGTCTGCAGAGAACCCCTTCTCAAATGAACAGCAACAGAGCAGCATTTTACACTGAAGCACTTCACCCTCCAACCCTCTAGTTGGCGTCTCCTTCCACTTTAATGGAGAGCTGACAAAAAAATGACTGTGGCTTTGACCAGAGGGTCTCGCAGTAAAATCACACAACACAGCGTTCTTTTCACAGATCAGAGAGCAGGTTTCTCTAAAGATGACAAATGCTTACTTTAACTTTAAACGGAAAAAAAAACCCTTTCGACGGAACACAGCGTTTTGCACATGCGTCCGAATACGGCAACACTAAGGCAAGCCGGCCGTAGTTAGCTTGTAGCTTTGCTACTTAGCTCTCGAAGAAAAGACTTTAACGCCACTTACGCACAGTTTTCAACTAAAAAAAGGAATGATTAAACTGATAACTCTGATTTTACATCAGACACAGCATTACTGCAGTTAGCCGGTAGATCAAAAGTAGCTCTTTGAAGTCTTAATGAATATGTTATATTTTCCATTTGGTACAATTCCCTTACTTTCTGAACCCAGAAGCTGTAGGAGGGTGGCTCCAATTGCATCCATTTAATTATAATGCATTTCAGGGTTGTTGTAAAAAGAACATTAAAATATATCATTTGGTTCGTCCTTGCAACGAAACTGGGGTAATACTGAGCACTGCAACCATTACATCCTTTTGGTATAACCTCCTGAAAGATCTGGTTTAAAGCCTTGTACACATCATCCCAAAAATTTTGTAGTTTGGGGCATGACCAAAAGATGTGTGTGATTGGGCACTGCTGAGCCGCAGTTTCTCCAACACAAGCTTGGTACTTTAGGATCTATCTTAGCAACTACATCTGAGGTCCTGAAAAATCTACTAATGATTTTCCATTTATATTCCTGCCACATATTTGAGTTTGTAACTTGATGTGCCTCAGTCCAAACACCCTCCCATGTTTCATCAGGAATCACTTTGGCCGCCTCTGCCTCCCGTCATTGTTTTATACGAGTGGGTTCATTAAAATTCATGGAAAGAAACACCTTATATAACTTTGCTATCAATTTCTTTTCTCCTTCACCTTTTTGGAATTGAATAAGTAATTTCTCAATCATTGTGGGGTTTAGTACTCATTCCAATCCTTGTGTAGTCAAGAAACAGCGCAACTGTAAATATCTGAAGAAATCACTTTTTTGGAGATGAAATTGCCCACAATTCTTCAAATGACATGTTGTTGTTCCTATTGACTAACTGATTTAGGAACGTGAGGCCCTGGCAACTGAAAAGCAACTCTTACTTTATCCTGATGCATGCTCAATAATCCAGGTAGAAAAATCTAAAAAAAAAAGTTAAGTCTGGTCCTCTGGACATTCAAAAAACAAAACAAATCAAAAAAATAAATAAAAATCCTTGGTCGCATCCTAGGTCCTTCTTAATTATATCCAGTGTTTTACTGTAGTTGGCATGGTACAAATCATTTAATGAAAGAGGGATACTGATGCCTAGGTATTTAATGTCCTCTCTAGGCCACCTAAAGCTGCTTTGTTGTTTTACCCC